CAGAAATAACTGATTCCAACATTGATAATAAATCAGCATATTAGAGTGATTTCTGAAGGATCATGTGACACTGAAGACTGGAGCAATGATGCTGAAAATACAGCTTTGATCACAGAAATAAATTATATTTTTAAGTATATTAAAATTATTAATTTAAATTGCAATAATATTTCACAATATTACAGTTTTTTCTATATTTTTGATCAAATAAATGCAGCCTTGATGAGCATGAGAGACTTCTTTTAAAAACATAAAAAATATTACTGATCCCAAACTTGAGTGGCAGTATATATATAATTTCTAAATATTTATGTAAATATTTCACAGAGTTCAACTTGTGGTTAGTCTTTCTATATTAATTATTTTCTATAAAGCTTTGAATAAAAAAAGATGTCATGCTACAAACTTTGCAAATATAGTGACAAAAGCAGTTTAGTAACTTTCAAACACAGTGTTGTTTCCAGACGGATGGATAAAAACCTGTGCAACTGTATTTATTAGACAGAAAATCAGACAGTTCTTGCCAAACTGTAAAGAAGGTGAAGAAAGTAAAGAAAGTGGATTTATAGTTTGAGGCTAAATCTATAATACAGGCAGTGGGGATCTTAATGACTTACATGAATCCCTTAGTGGTTAGAATACATTTCGAGTCGTGCTGACACAGGTTTAGCTCTGAAGCGCAGAAATCCAGTTTATCTTCACACAGCTCCCCTGCACACACACATACACATTATAAACAGACAGAAAGAGTGGGAGGAGTAGGGATAATCACAGAAAACAAGAGTCGCATCGTGTGTAGGATAGTCTCTGATTAATCATCTTACAGTGGGGAAGATGACAAAATACCAATACTCTGAAGAACAACAATACAATACAGCTCTATTGACAGAAAATAGAGCCAGTGAAACATCAACGAGTGTGTGTGTGTGTGTGTGTTTCATACGTTAGAAAGCAACGAGGACGCACTAGCCAGAAACAGCAAAGATAAGAGACAGACAATGGGAGGATGAAGTGAAAGAGAGTCAACTAACCTTTCTCCACCTCATTATTATCAGCAGCTAGTAGAAAAAGTGAAACCAGTAGCGAGAGAAAGACAAAGAAATACAGAGGACGCATTTGACATGTTAGCTCAAGCAGCACATTAGCATCAAACACAGAGCACAGAGAACACAGAGCATTGCGCGCGTGACTGTCCTTGTGTTTGTGTGGGTTACCTGTGTATTCAGGCGAGCAGAGACAGGTGTAGTTGTTGATCCCATCCACACACGTAGAGTTATTCTCACAGTCATTATCTTCACAGTCATCGATATTTAGCTCACATTCGTCGCCCTCAAATCCATCTGGACACACACACCTGAACATACACAAATACGACTTCTTAATTCTTTTGAAACGTTTAATTCACTCTGTGAGCAGTGTTGCTATTCTATAACTGTCTAAAATTGGTTTGTAACTACATGTCTCTCACAGTCTGTCTACATATGTTTGGGTCCCTGCTTCAATTTTGTTGTACTATTTCATCACAAAAGTGTAAGTATAGGTGCTTAGAAATGATCACATCATCTTTTTTTCAGTTTTGGGGTCAGTAAAACATTTTTCTGGAAGAAGCATGCATTAAAGCATCAGCAAGCATGCATTAAACTAATCGAAAAACTAATCAACTTGATGAGCAGCAAATCAGCATATTAGAATGATTTCTGAAGGATCATGTGGTACTGAAGATGCTGAAAATTCAGCTTTGCATCACAGAAATAAATTACATTTTAA